GGTCTTCCATAGAGACCTCAGTTTTGAGCCTCCCGGACTAGTGCAATGTACAGGATTAAATCTAACGTTTTCAAAGCTGATAAGAACCACAATGCACAGATTGCAGCCAGACTTGTTGCCAAGGGCAGAGTTGTGAAGTACCGAAAGGTTGTCTTGTCCAGTCCAGAACCATATCAAATTTGCCTTATGGCCCCTTATCCAATTCCGGGTTGTGAACTTTAACAGCAGAGGGGCGCGAAATTCATTTTCTTCTTTGTTTAGAGTGCATTTGTTCTGGCAATGAGTATCTAAAATGATGCCTGCGATAGTGTTTAAGTAACGCGGCTCGGGAACAGGCTTTTTTTTCGCCGCCACTCATTTCATCAAATGACATTTCCCCGATAGTTTGTTTCAACGCTGTGACGCTTTATCAACAGATTGTTTCATCGACACTCGCTCATCGACATATCTTGCAATGTTTCGTCGACAAGATCTTGGTTTGGTTAGGGGTGTGCTGCTTAGTTGGTGAGCAAGGGTACGGGTACATGCAGGGGGTAGGACCACCCTTACACGCTGCTGCGAAGCGGCTTGTACGGGTGGGCTGGGTGGGTCCACATTTTTGTAATGAACTGCTGGAGACTGTCGCCGCAAAGCGTCGTGAACTGGGTCGGTCGGATAGTTTAATATGTGCTTCAGTGATAAACGCACAACAAAACGTTCCTACAGCGTGAAATTTTTGTGTCGATGAAACTTCACAGCACAGTGTGGCAGTATCATTGAAACGAGTCGTAAAAAGTTGATGAAACGTGTCGATGAAACAACAGGGACCCTTCTTTCCAATGGTTCCATGGAGGCTCTGACAATGAGGACTGCAAGGTTGCCTCCAAGAAGCTCAATGTTTTTACACAAGTCTGTCTTTGCCAAGGTAGACCAGAAAGACGATGGCAGATTCTGAAGAGCTCGTTCGCGGCTACGGCCTGGTATGATCCAGAGATAAACATACATCAGGAATGCAATTAGGCGGTTTGAGCTGTTGCTTGATTCAAACATTGTTGATTTTATTGTTATAAAGACAAATCATTCTGCCACCTGCATTCGGACCAAGATCAAGAGTATTCGGTATGTTTTCAATTCTTGATTTAAACAAATATTTCGCATATAAGAAAGCCACAATTCATGAAGCAGGAAACTGCCCTTACAATCAATTTTTATTGACCATACTTTTCATCTTTTACAAATTATTAAACCAACGCTGCGATCCAGTATTGTGGACCCATTTTCCTTCTTAAGTAAATTGGAAAAATTGGTGCGTGTTTACCGGTAATACCTCAGGCCGCGACGCAAAGCGAGTGGAGGTACAGGCGTCACGTACCCGGGTTTCGAAGCATAAACATACGACTGACAGCGCCTCGAGAGCAAGCAGAATGTTCGGAAGCATTTGAGAGAACCGAATCTGCTTCCCTCAAATTCTCTGGTATTTCTTCCAAAAGAAGACATCAGCCTCTTAACGTCCAAAACAATATCAATTAAATGTTTGTAACATACGCATCACTGGCTTTATCATTTGTGTGCCACCTGTATGTAACAGCTCATTATTGCGAACGAGGGTGTACCCGCGGGTACTATCGCACTCATAGATTACCGTGCAGCCGATTGCGACGCGGAAACTTGACAAGGACGCCACGTTTCACAGATGAATGCATACTGCTTCGAAAGCGTCATTTCAGTAGACACACTATTTATTAACGCCAGCAAAGGTACGGTCGAAATTGGGTAAAGACACTTACTGTGTTCGCGGTTCACTTATGCCCCTCCCGCACAGCCCACTACACTTATAAAGAAGAGTTTGGTGACCGCTGCATTTTAACGTCGCTCCACGGAAACCACTGCGAAGAAAAGCCGATGCCTTCACGATGTTGAGGCGCAACCCGAGGCAGAGAAGCAGACGGCGTTCGACGTATGTACGATGCTAGGCCTTACTCCCGCATCGAAATTTTCAATGGCAATGCTATCGCTGGATTCTCACGCTGTCGCGCAGAACCTATTGCGAATAAAAGTGGACGCGGTTACGACTTAGCGACGTATGCTCGGGTAAGTGAAAAACCGCATTAAAAACAGAATAATTGCTGCAAGATACTCGAGTCGTAGAAAATCTGCCCGGCAGCCATGTTGAAAATATTCATTTGCCAGAACAAGATTGGTTCGGGCAGGTCGTGACGTCACGGAAACAACGGGACGCGATTGGTGGCGGAGGAATACAAGATTCCCTTTGAGGGGCTTTTGCCGCTACCTTCTTGACTTGTAACCGACTATAGTTGCATCATCACCACCAACTTTTTTTTTTTTTTTTGAAAGGGGTTTATGAAGAAGTTTTTATATCTAAGTAAATACGGCAGTGTTCGTTTGACTCGGCATGCCCGGAATGCTAGAACGTCGACGGCACGAATTTTCCAGTCTGCAGAACCGCCCAGGTTCTCAGTAGCAGCGTCGGTGAGCATTCTTCCGCGGGTTGCTCGAACCGGACGAGGGAACGTGCCGGGCGTACCGAGACGTTGGTTTGGAAAGCCGAGACAAGAGTTTCGGGGCGGCACGTCTCTTTCGCAACGAGTGCGCCCGCCGAATCAGCCGACCGATCTTCCCAGTCAGAGAAGATCGTAAGAAATCCGAGTAATACCCCATTCACACGGTCAACATAAAGGTAGCTTTGCTATCGGCGAATCAGCCCGTGCTCATGAGTCGCGAGCACACGCAACGCGCGGAAGTTCGTTAATTGATTGGCCGCAGAGAATAAAGGCCCCTTAGCCAAAGGTACCTTTACGGTCGTGTGAATTCTGTATTAGAGTGTTTGAATACTGTCGACCAGGTACACCAACGCGGCCGGACCGTCTACAGTCGTTGACAGCTTAAGGCACACGTGACTTAAGAAGTTTCTGCTCCTTGCTTTGCAATTGGTACTTTTACGTTCTTATCGGTGAATATCGCAATCCCGTTGGCTGCAAAGAAACCATGAGATGTTTTTTATACTCTACCTAATGCCCACCACTCAAAAGGACGGTACACCAGGAACGAACACAGAACACATACGTGCTGACTCGCAACTGAAATATATTAAAAAAGAAGAAAGAAGAGGAACCAGGTAGCAAAAAAGCAGGAGTAAAAAAGAAAAAAAAAAACGTAGGACAAGGCACGTGAATTTTGACTGGTGGTTCAGAAACAGCCTCCAAAATTTCCCTTCAACCTTTCCTCGTAGCATGTTTGAAAACTCGAGTTAATTTTCTAATAGTGCTACAGATGGCTGGCTAACACATTGTTCTTCTAACCTGGAAATGGTGAACGCTTTCAAAACTCTGGCGGGCCTATCTCGATAGTACACAATATTTCTGATGCCAGGATAGGTTGCCGTACAACCACAGGAACTGCAATGAAGCAGCAAATGTCCTCCCGCGTGGAATTTAAAGATATACTACCGTAGCCTCTTATTTAGACACCGTACAGTTTGTTCCACATGTGATCTACCACAGGAAAGGGGAATGCTATACACCGCATCCATTATGCAGAGGACAAATTGGCAAGCAAATGTTGCCATATAGTTGTCAATATTTGACAAATATATAGGAGACACAAAAGCATGCACACATAGACTAAACCCGCGAGGTAAGGCGCGTGCTCTGCCCTAGATTGGTTTATAGCCAATGACTACGCACACAAACAAAGATGAATGTCGTGACATCGCGCTTTTGGTGCGACTTGATTTTTCCTATTTGCGCATAGCGGCGGCTGCGCCACGGCGTTACGCACTTGGTCATAATCAAGGATTTGCTAAACGAATTTTATATATGTTGCCCGTCTAATTCAACACGAAGCGCTTGAAGATCGCAACCCACCGTTCCATCGGAATGTTGAAGTTACGTTTAGATCGCACAATCACTTTGTTTTTTACTCAGCAGTTTTGTTTTTGGGACGTTTAACCCGGTTGATTTTCGAACCACCAGACGCAGCGCTGCTCAGAATAGACTTAGATCTAATGTTGCGTATATTGATTGGTATATTTGATGCGTCAAGAGCGTTGTGACAAACACTTGCACTGTGACACTTGGCATGGTGCATTTCACATACCCAGAATCTGGCGAACAAACACTTTAAGGGCCTCGTCATCCATTAGGCTCATTTCGTGGATCTTAAAGGCTACCGATGCACGTGCTCTGCGCGAATATTCAGACGGGCAGACCACGTTAATAAACGGAGCAGGAATGAATCGAGTATAGGATGACCCAAGCGGACATTCTGCAGTAAAACGAGCCGGAAAAATCGGCGCCTGCACATACAAAGCTCACACTTTCACCAAATATGCTCTGTGTAGGTCAGTTTTTCCGTGTGAAATTTCGAGGAGCAGTTCTCTTCCTGTTGAAAATTAAAGTAAAAAAAAAAAATCTTGCTGAAGTCAAGGTTGGCCGCGTTCGCAGACGACAGAATTAGCGACGCTATTTACTTGTGTGGCTCCATCTACCGATAGGTGCAGCGAGCAGACAACAGAGTGCGTCGTCTGCTCGCTGCGCCCTCTCGGATGATGGCGCCACGCGTAAATAGCGTCGCTAACTCGATCTGTCTGTGAGCGCCGCCCAACCCTGACTTTTTGCGAGTTTCCGTTGCTCTAATTTTTTACAGAAATCGAACTGCGACTTGAAATTTCCCACAGTAAAATGGACCTGCTTAGTGCACATTGGGTGAAAGTTGGAGCTTTTTATGCGCAGGCGCCGATTTCTCCGGCTCATAGTCCGCTTGGGACACCCTTTACTACAGTCGCTGACAGCTTAAGAAAATCTGGGCGTTGCTTATCACACTCACGCTCCTTGCTTAGAGATTGGTTCTTTAGAGCTATTATCGTCAAGCGTCGCAATATCATTGGTTGCGGAGTGATAATGAAATACACCTGACTCGCCACATCCTGTATTTCTTGAGCTGTCCGTGACTACAGTAAATACAGGCGTGGGATTCGATTCAGAAAGAGTGCACACATCAGATCACGTTTTTCTTCTTTTATTTATTTTTTTATTCGCACACAAAGTTTGTTTGGGATACCGCGTTTGTAGCAGCAGGAAGCAGCCAGCTATTCCTTTCGTGCCGTTTCAAGCGAGCGTCGTGCAGGACGGTACCGGAGATCCTCGGCTAAGACGTCGTCCCTTGGCAGAAGGAGACAAGAAAACAAGCTCACACGCAGTGTTCGGGAAAACAATGCAGATTTCGTGCGCAGACGCTAGCACACTCCATCCAAAAAAGAAAGTCCGTGAGTTCACTTTCGTGCAGAACAGTGAGACAGCCAATCAGTGCGACTCTGTTAGTGCAATCAAGAGATCACCCTTTTCTTTGTCTATTTTTCTCTTAAACCTGAAATGCTGTCATCTAAGCTACTATTGTGGCAAAAAAAAACAAAAAACATCAATGTTGTGTTGGCGCTAACGGTGCCACTGCGCGGCACAGTTTGTGCCAAAACGACATCGGCGCTGTTTTGCAGGTTACTAATGGTGAATTCCGCTCGCAGATCTCGAGCGCTCTAAAAGCGCTCCATTTGGAGCGCGCATGTTCCGCTCGCAGATCTGGCTCGAGTTGGTCATCTTCCGCACGTAGATCTCAGGCAGCGCCCGCTCCACGGAGCGCCTCCGACCCAGCCGAACTTGCTCTGCGGGATTTCACAGATTTCTCCGGAAGTTGACAGAGCGGCCCACGTGATTTTCGCCAAAATCGGCAGTGCGCATGCGCGGCGAGGTTGGAGAGGTCGGCGGGCCGGTCGGGCCGTCGAGTTGGATCTGTGCGGGTGCGTCGGTTGTTTACGCGGCGAACGCTTCTACCTCGCGTAGATCAGGGATACAAAGCCGGGATTGTGGAGCTTGGTAAATCGTAAGCGCTGACATCTGTGATCGTGAGAGGAAGAGCGACAGAAAAGCCGGAGGCAGACGCAAGGTTAGGTCTGTTCATTCTGCAGCCAATGATTGTTTACCTTTTTACACTGCATTCCGCCGGCGTTTTCCCGTGAAATAAAGCAAGAAGTGATCAGGCGATGACAGCGCAAGTGATGGTTTGTTACCTCTGTGTTTATTAAAGTCGTGCCAGAAATCTAAACTCCACCGCTGGCAATCGCTGTCCGTGCCCCGCCGCTTCGAGGCGGCCGAAAGGTATGTGACGGTGCCGAACGCGGACGTATTCGTGATTTGTGACATGGGCGCCGTGGTACGTATAATTTCGCCCGGCCTGTGTCGCGTGTTATTTCTGCAGCTAAGCAGTGGCAATCGTCACTGGTCGTCGGAAAGATCAGTCGGCTGGGGCGTTGGTGGGGTTGTCAAGTTCGAGCAGCGGACATGTTGAGCGGCGGAGGGAGAAACAGTGGGGAGGGGTGTTGGGGAGGTCGCTCCAAAAATGCAAGTTTATCTTCCCCTCGCCGATTCGGAGCGGGTCACACGGAGCGGAATTTTGCCTCCCTCGCAGATTTTGGAAAGCGCTCCGGATCAACCAGTGGACTTCACCATTAGAGAGAGTAGGGACAAACGCTACATTTTACCGACTAAGTTAGCGATTAGGAGAAGCGCATTCCACCACACTGGCAGTCTTCATGACAACACTTCAATTGCGGGAGACAAATGGGGACATTCAGTAATCACTCGTTCGTGTTAACAGTACCGCGGTCTGCCCTCGCAGGTATTTCCCGGAACTTGCGCCGGCACTTTTCCCCATAGCCACCTAGGCGGCTGTTTTGTTTATAAAGTGCCTTTTATGGCTTTAAAAAATCTTTCTGAAAAACAACAGTGAATTATCGAAGAAATAAATTGAAAATTTGAAATTGAAAAATATATTCACCTCAGGTTACTAAGCAGTTTTGGGTATGACATAAGCTCAAACTGAGGTTCCGCGATGTTCGGAGTGGCCTTTTGCGAGCAACGACCACCAACACAGATGACGGAGCATATTCTCCAGGAACAATATGGCGTTTTTACAGTTTATTCTGCAGGCTTCGCCATTTTTGCTCTGAATTCTGTGCAGTGGCACCAGTCAGAGCCGTCTAGAATGTCGCCGTTTCTTTTATCTAGACGCTTTCGATCAAACAATTTTTCGACACTATTTCGGAGCATAATGGCGATACGTTACGGACGGTAGCAGCTCCTAAAGCCATGGTAAACGTCGTTAGTCTCAGACAGTCTCATAAGCTTTCTAGATTTAAAGCTGTTCTAGAACCTTGCCACGCAAGAAACTAGAGAAACTGGCTTATAATTTTCAGGTATTTTTATCACTTGCCTTATAAATGGGTATAACTTTTATCTTTTTCACCTGCTTAAGTTTTACACCTTGACCTTGCATTATGCTGTACTCAATGGCAGAAAGAAAGGTAGGCTACCACTTTGCGTAACTTTTTTTTAGGAATGTAGTAGGAATTATAGTTCAACCACAAGACCTTTTCATCTAATGTCAACAGCACGGCGGGAAAAAAAATTTATTTGATAATTAAATACTTGGTACTCAAAGCAAGCTCAGTGAGATTTCGGGAACGTGGTTGTAACTAAAGGTCGCAGTAGTCGTAAAAGCTTTTTGCAACAAAATAGTTATCGGCAATTCCTTTTACGCAATCAATTATTCCCGCTCACCAAGTGCCTCAAATCTGATGTTTACAATATTTGAGGGGAAAGCACTACGAAGAAAATCTGACAACGTTTCATTGTAACTTCTTCGGAAGCAGAGGTGTGGAAAGCCAATATGGGGTAATGATAAAATGTCTAGGTCGTAGGTAAGAATAATGCCTTCCAATTGAATAATAATATTATCAGTGTTTCTAACATTAACATTAATTATTCTTAGTGGTATGTTAGTTGAAATGCATTGATTACATCAGAGTGGGTAAAATAATCGTATTTGTAGCTACAGAAAGTTGCATTCGTCGTTAAAGAAGCGGTGCAACGATTTTCGGATTTTGGCCAATTAATTGCGGAAATTAGACTGTCACTTATAGAATGAAGAACAGAAAAAGAGTTTTTCTTGCGTGCGCAGTTTTTTCTTCTTCTTTTTTAGAGAGAAAGAAACATTGTTGATGTTCGGGATACTCCACAGCTCTCGCACCGTCCTTCGAGTGACGTGCGCAGTGAGGTCACAGGAGGTACCACGTGTTTTCCTGTTGGGTTCTGTTCTCCACCGCGATTGTCGACTTTCCAATGTCCAGTTAGGCTACAATAGAGCACCGCACTCGCTTAGCACCGCCGAGAGTCGGGGAGGGCGGGAATAGCTTTTTTGACTTCCGTTAGATGGCGCTACGAAATCGTGTGTACCAGAGCCGTATATGGGGAGAGTTTGGTCAGTCTATGATCTCGCCGCCGTAACGCTCTCCTTCCGAGTGAGCCAATCAGCACGCGGCGCAGAGCGAGAGGCATGAGCGCATGCGCGTGAACTCCCGGCTGCTCCCAGCTGAGTGGGGAGGGCCGCCATCTTCGATCATTCTCCCGGCAGAATGCGTGAGATCGGCATCTAAATCTCGATTATTGCCTTTTATATCGATGGCTCTGGCAAGAAAATGACATTCTGTTATTCCTCGGTGGGTTAAAAAGCTAATAAATGAAGATTTTTCGGCGTATGGCCACAAACTTTTATTCAGGCGAAAAAGAAGTCGGCCCGTAGCAGACGACGCGTAGCCTCAGCAGTGCTCTTCTCCGACCAGTCTCCGACAGCGTTGCTCAAAAATGGCGGTCGTCTCCTCTCCGCTCCCTTCTTTCTCTCTCGCTCCTTCGGCGCTCTCCTCCCCTTCAATTACTTTTCTCCATTCCGGCGCCTTCGTCGCCACACCCACTGGCCAAACTCTCCCAATATACGGCTCTGGTGTGTACTAGAGTTCCTGTATAGGCTCCCTACGGGAGCCAGAGTTGCGCATTTGTTTTCCCCGCGCCGCCACGCCGCTATTCGCCGAGATCCATCACGTGAGGAGCAAAGCATCCGGTGGCGTGCAAGAAAGCCACCTTTACGGTCGCTCCGCCGACGTTTCTCGCGCCCCGGCGTATGTTTCCCTGCTTTCCGCCTCCTTTTCCTCCTCTCCTGTTTTCCTCGCGCGGCGGCGCGCACGGCGCCGCTATTCGCCAAATTTAGTCACGTGAGGAGCAAAGCATCCAGGGCTTGCGGGGAAGCCGGCGCTACGGCCACTCGCCGAGGCTGAAGGCGCAACTCTGCTACCGTAGGTAGCTAGCTATTCAGGAACTCTAGTGTGTACTCCTCCATGACATGACAGCGTTATGACCGCCTGACGCGGCTACAGATCGGGAAACAATGCGAGTCTTCCTTCGAGATTACGCGGCGGAATCGCAGTATTTCGGGGGAAGGTGGCGCCCTTTCTCTCACTTGCGCCAAAATAAGCAAAGAAAAAAAAAACTGCAACTTCTTTTAACGTTAAATTGAACGACGCGGCACATTAGAGCAAAGGTAAGCTGCCTAGCATGATCTAGTGGTACGCTAGCATCAGCACTATCACCCGAGGCTATGTTTGCCCGTTTATATTAATTTTGCCGAGCGACAGGTGGAGTTTTACACCATTTTTCATAAATCATTAAAACTGACAGAGGATTTTTTTTTATTATTATTCTCAGATTTATTTGTTATACAGGAGCTAGAACCCTTTAAAAGCTGTGCATTACTTTAGCTCCTCTGTCAAGAATAAGTATATCTGACCTGATTTCATTCGTCCTTTTTTCCCCGAGCATATATACGTATATGCTGTCTCTATATCGGCAGTTTATATTTTCAGCATATCCTCGGATACTTCATTGGTGACGGATCCCTCCATGGAGCCGTTCTCTTAATACGTCGTTTCGTAAATCTCGGATCCAGGTTGCTGCGTGGGGTCCTTGCTTCTATAGCGCCAATTGTTTTCCAAAAAAACTGTCGAGGTCCTTTTCAAGGAATCAAAAGTTGCCCTGAATAGCTCACAGCGTGGCTGTTACGTTGATCAAAGTGTCTACCTCTTGCTCGAGTGTGGGTGGCCTCGAGCTTAATTGTCCCGGGTATTAGCCAGTGGGCTCAAACCTTGTCTTCTTTGATGGCAATAAGGTCATGGCAATTCTCTGAAGCTGCGCGACAAGCTCGGCCGCAGCAGGTCCAGGTTTACACTCAGTGCCATCGAATAACATGAAAAGTAAGCATATCACTTCAAAGGTAGGAAGCATCTGAAAAAGGTTGATCATGGTTGTGCTTGCGGCCGCCATTGTTACCCTCACGTGTCTTGCTGAGTATAACCGAAATATACCTCGTCACTTTGTGGGCCAATAAATCACTAGCAAGCATAGTTCCTGCTTCCTCATGCTATAGACCAAAAGTTGAGTTTAACGTGTGAACCCCCTCCTCTCGAGATGCGATGGTAGGCCGAGCCGCGTGACAGGAGTCGCAGCGAGAAACTTGCACCAACCTTTTCAGCTCGACCCCGAAGGTTGTCCCAGCCGGAGAGCCACGAACAAGGCCAGCCCCAAGGAGAGGAACACCGACGGCAGGCTTTGCGCAGCGTGATTTCCTGAGCAAATATCGGAACGCTTTAAACAACAGGGAGAAAATCGTCCTTCCAATGCCGAAACTCTACGTGTCCGAAATCGTGTCGAATAGGCTTCTATAAAGTGGTGCGCGCGTCCACTTCCTCGTAGCACAAGCAGAGAAGTGATCGTTGCAGCCTACTCAAGTGACTCCAGCGCACGAAGAGGCAAAAACGTTATCTATAAACTACGAATATCCGCAGTGATGCGATGCGTACGAAACTTCGTTGCGTGTTCCTGCCTAGATCGCAATTATGGGTCACATCGCTTTCTTGACTTGTTCATTCGCGCACCAGATCGTTCAGATTTGCAATCCGAAGTGTTCTGCTCGAGCGTATTTCATGGGGAGGATCGTTTTAGAACGTCGCGTCTCAAGCCTGAACCCGTGAAATAGGATTTCTTTTTCAGCAAAACTAAAAAACAAAAAAAAAATTTTTTTTTTTTTTTTTTTTTTTTTTTTTTGGGGGGGGGGGGGGGGGGGATATTGCCAAAGAGGATAGCTGAAGCTTGGAATAAACGCGTCAGACGTGTGTTTATTTTGCTTAGATCGGAGATTTCCAACGTCGTTCCACAGTCGCGTTGTCGCAGTCCGCCGTCGCCAGCCGTCGCTACTACGCCTGACTGAGACACTCTGCTGCATCAGAAAATTGCGAGTCAACGTTAGATTTGGCGCAGAAGCGCGTCACGCTGAACGGAGAACCGTGGACCTGGCAAAACCTGCGAGGAATGCCGCTTGAGACGGCCTTCGGTGTGGGTAGCGTGAAAAAAAGAAATAGAATAGAATAGCTAAAAAGTTTTTCTTTGTTTTTTTCATGTTTTTTGTGGGAGTTTACGCTTTATAAGGATTCCATTACAAGGCTGTTGGGAAGTCCATATTTACATTCTTTGTTCTTTTAGGTTTCTTATCTTTAGTGTGTGTGTGTGTGCGTGTGTGCGTGCGTGTACGTGTGTATTTAATGGTATAAAGAAACTGTAAGGCTCAAGTTGTACAGTATGCCCGCTGAGAAAACAAATGAGCCCGACATAAAGCGGAAATGGATAGCGCGCTGCAGCTCTGGTTTGCGAAGCAGATTGAGGAAAGACAAGTTTTCAGGTGAGACCACGACCTCACAAAAACGGGTTGTCCAATTTACTTATTATCTTTTTTCTTCTTTTTTGTTCGCGAAAAATTATATTTTTTGGAATGTGACGACAGCTCGGTACCTCTGAGACGCCGTTCCGATACTGCCTACTGGTGAACAGATCCCGTGGCGAGAATGGCGAACCGGTCCCTGTTCTTTGTTACCGTGCGACTTTTTAAATATCAGTTAATTTTTTCCCCTAAAAATGCGACGGAATCTTCATCGCCGCATACCCTGCAGAGAGCCATTTATTGCCGATGACTGTCGAAGCCACGAACTTTGGACCCAATAACTTCACCTGCCATAAGAGATACTTTGCGCACGCTGAATCTCACAGCGGGTTTTATTTCGGAAACGAAACATTTGCTCTGCCCTTTCATTCCCTAGATCTCTTCCATAGTTCGTCTATTGGGATGGCCCATTGGGCTCTCCCAGTGAAGGAGCATCGGGGGTACCACGTGTTCTCGGTGCCTGCAGCGTGCCCAGGAATGGCGCCGGTGGGGACGACAGACGTACCTCCGGTCTCCGGAAAAGCGGGAACGGTGAGCACGTTCGGGATGTCGACGGTGGCGAAGCTGGTGTCGGCCATCAGGCAGAACACCGAGAACCACTTGTAGTCGGCCCACGTGCTCTTGCCGGGAAGCTTCAGGGTGACGTCCTTGCCGGTGTACGCCGGCAGCTTGTCATTGCTGCAACCACACCGAACGCATTCCTCTCAGTTGCCATCTTCGCGTGCCCGTGACGTCACGGACGGGTGCGAAAGCGGGTGATTGGAGACGGACCGCGGCGTTAGTCCGAATACTTCGCGCGCCGTTTTCTGAACCGCTCGTCAACTTTTCCGCCGATCGTGCGCACAGCCAATCATTCCGATCTCTGGGAGTAACACAATAAATGACGATACCGAGGTGATGTCTCTCAGGCGAAAACGTGGCGTTTGGCAAGCCAGGAGTCCAATGCAGATCGCACTTTCTCGAGCAAACACTTCCAGAACATGGTCATTATTCCCTGTACTCCTTCGGTCGATCGCTGTGATTGGTTATTGGACAAGAGACCGAACAGTTACGCCTCTAACGGTTCCCTTCAGCTGCGTGGGAAATAAGAATAACTGAGTTCTTTGTTTTTGAGCCAGCCTTCGACTGGGGCTCGTGTTCAGTCAGTGGGGCCCCGATTGAATAGGAGACCCAGCTGATCGCTGACGCGACAGTCTGTTCAATCTGCTCCATGCTCGATCGAGGTTGATGGTAATCCACAGGCCTTGTGCAGGGTAAACACCGAGAAGCGAGGCAAAAAAGCTGAACACAGCGTCCACTATAGTTCGATATCCACGCCCCTTACCACGCACATAGCCGCGCGGGTCTTGTTCCTAAGCAGTGTTTTGCGCTTTCGAGTTAATGCGGCATATAGACATTACCGGCCTAAGAAGGCGGCTACCTGTGACTGAACAATCAGGAACAACTTACGACGCAGTGAACGCCGTCAGAACTAGCCACGCCCAGTCGTTCCTGAGCTCGGTCGTCTGCCTCCCAGACTTTCAAAACGAATGTTTTAAAACATCCCTCGCGTTGTAAAAGAGCGCGATTATACTGTACTTAGTGGTTACACATAATGTTCAATCGACAAGGAACCTTCCAGTTCGTTCGATTTTAGTGTACCATGTATATTTCGCAGATGCAAAATCGAGAAACATGCTGCTCCCAAAACTCGGTGCCTGCAAGGTCGCTTTCCTGCATTAAGTTTGGATCCAGCTCGGCCCACTTGACCGCTTCTCCGCCAATACGGAGTGGGCGGCCAAAGGCAAAGGAACGCGATACTCTGACTCTGCAAGACACTATACAGTTACTCTACGAGTCGCGATTATGAAGCGCCTTCTAGAAACACTGTGTTTCGAAACCTGTGTGACTTACCTAACACAGCAGCGCCCCCCCCCCCCCCCCCCCCTCCTCAAGAAACGGAGGTGCGTCAAGCGATGGGAGGCGGATCTTGGGGCAGAAGGGGGGGGGGGGGGGGGGGGGATACTGCTTTTGGAAGCAGCGTCTGTGGCAGTTGCGTAACTGAGTTAGTCTAATAACGTTGGTTCGTACTAAGCAGTGTAGAGACGCCATTGTTCTCTGGAAATTCGAGGGCGGCACCACTCCTGCGCTTCGTACGTTGAGACGGACTATTGAAATTCAAATTCAAATTCGTTTATTTTGCCACAAACAGTACATTTGTGACAGGGGAGCTGGAAAGAAAGCTGCAGGCCTGCAGCTTGACGAGTCCCAGCGCCCCAGACCCAAGAGACCCAAACGTGAAATTACTTGTAACAAACTTTGTCCTGCACCAAACTGCACCAAACGGCGAGTATCGAACAGGCTTCGGTAGAAAGTTCAGCGCATGCGAAAAACATGCGTCGGTGCCGCTCTGAGCAATCGAAGCATGTGCCGCTAGCTTGATCGTTAGCACGAAATAACGTCCTATCCGAGAAAGTCTAAAAAACACATGTGTCGATATTTCGATCTACCGAGCAAACCGTCTCTCCATTAGAGTGCCTCCTAGCATTATAGTCCGTAGCAGGTCGCGAATAGAAGGACATGACCCTTCAACATAACTCTCTGCTCGGCATGACTGGTTGTTTCCTCCTCTCCACTCGCCTTCTCTCCAGCGTTCGCTCTGCTAAAGTGAAAAGAGTGGAGGGTTTTCTGGCAGTAGCCGCATAGAAAAGGTCTATATATCAGCGAAGGCGTCGCATGAAACAGTTCACACGGACACGGAAAGCCGAAGCGAAAAATACCGGGCTTCGAGCAGCGACAGCCACGAGCGCCGGTCTAAGTGACCGCCCTCACCTGCCATTCTCGTTGAGCAGCTTGGTTCCACCGCTGGCACGGGGGGGCTTGGGCTCGGGACTCACAAAAAAGTGCGCGTCTGCGGGAAAATTGACAATTATAGCCCGACACTTTAAGTTGCATAGCATGTTTTATCAGTAGAGTTTCGCACAATTGAATGCTTAATCAGTTGTGCGTATTCAACTTTTAATTTGTAAATATAACTCCAATTAGAAACTTGCTAGCATCATCGAAAATCACTAAATCAGTCAAGAAAATCTTGAACAGGTAGGAGGCCTGCTGGAGCGCAAACGTTACCGTTGCATGCGCAAAGCAGATCATAAATTACTAAAGAAACGGATATAAACCACGCGTCAAAGCTGGCTGCAGTTTCGGAACCCAGAAAAACGAAGGTCGAGCTCCAAGTATTTCTAGACTCGACTAAGTGGTTTCCGACGATGTGCAGACGCCACGCTGTCATTCCCAGCCCAGGGACCACGAACTTGGCAGTTCTTATTGGCGTGATGAGTGGTGAAAAGGTGCATATAAAAAAAGAGTGAGCGCAAAGTCAACTTCGTGATTACGTAGCACAATTAAAACTGACACGCTTTCATTTTTTTTTAAATTTTTACTATCTAAAATGTTTATCATGCGAAGCTAACTGAAAGTTTAATTATACTCAATCTAGCTCAACCAGTGGTTATCCTGATTGTGACCAATGCGGTACCAATCTTATTTCTCTACAATGCGTATACTTTTTACCCGAACATTTTTGGGCGGCCATTCGTGAAGCGTTTGGTACGTACGGGACGATTGTTTCCTAATCCATGTAGATTTATTAATAAAAGGGGGTGACCGTCGCGTGAGTACCATTTTTACTGTGTGTTTATACTAGTGCTTGGCGGGCATATCAGATAGAGGATGTCCATTATAAAAACCCGAGACTGGAACAAATTAAAAAAAAAGAACACACACGGCGTCTCAAACTGAGTTAACTCGGTGGAACTAACTCGATAACTTCAAATCTAAAACCCAAAATGTGGGATGACCGTCACGATCAGTTGCATAATTAGACAAAATGTATAAAATAACTATAATCATTGCCTTTTATGGTTTATGTTACAACTGCAGTTTGGAAGGTGTCATTATTAGAGGTTAAACCAATTCATACATTCTGCGGAGGGTGCTCAGCGAATGAGGGGACAGATAATACATTCAAACCTAAAAGAAAACCTGTCTGCGCTGTGGCACTGAGCATGAGGTTTCACCTTACTCAGTGCCACAGCGCAAACAGTTTTTTTTTTAGGTTTATTTATAGCCCTGTCATTTATAGCCCTGTCATTCGCTTAGATTGCAGCGATTGGCGATACCAAGTGCTTTTGCAGGGAACAGACGCTCCAGATTTCTTAGAGTCCATGCCTCGTAAAAATTAAAATGTTACTTGACACATCTTACATAAGTAGCCAACTGATTATGACAATTATCCCTCATGATCTGATGTCGGCCGAGCCCGATAAACACACAGGTGTCAACGTAATGGCAACTCCCTTATTTCCGTCTTTATTAAGATCTCTTATAAATAAAACCAATCACACGGAATAGAATTGAAATAAACTCGTAGCAATTTACACACTACCCTAAAGGCCAGCGTGTGCCTACTTTGCCGCAGAAAACGCAAAGAACCAATCGCTGCGACTACACTGTTGGGGATAATAATTCCGTTTGTCTCATGTAGTTCACTTGGTTCTCGTAGACAGCAGTGATTGGCTCTCTGTGTGTTCGGCAAAGGTGTAAATGCTCAAGCGATCTTTGTAGGGTAATTACTCGAACGATTCATCACACATTGATTATGGACGAGGCCCGCGTGTCTGTTTTGAAGCGTTGCACTAGAGCCAATTATTGGGATTCACAGAAGTTGCCGAGCAAATGACTGGGCAAAGATTTATGTCGTAGCATGGAAATGGTGTCTGCGCAGCGAGTGTGCAAAGCTTATTGTGATATTTTACATGCTCAGATTCATGCGCAAACAACTCGACTGTGTGTAAGTAATTTTTTCGGGCCTTTATGAAACTGCATACACGCATACATAGGGGGTATAGCCTCTTTTCATGGCAAACGCCACCAGGCGGTGCTCCAGTCCCTGACTTCCCAGAGAACCCCCCCCCCCCCCCCCCCCCCCTTTCCCGTTCTTAAAAATAATGAACAAAGCCCACCTCAAAACCGCTGCTCTGAGTAACGATGAAACGTTAAACTACAAGTTTTCCAGGTGAACGAAAAAAAATAACGAAGAAGCGCGAGATATGTTAAAAATGTTCAAATATTCGACGTTAAATTGTACAGCCGAAGGCTCTCTCTAAATCTCCAACTTTGTTGTCCATGTAGCATTTATGCTCTCTAGCACTGGTGTCATAAGCAAGCTCGACAGGCTTGCAAAGACGGAGCGAACGGAAGTCGCTTGGCATGCGAGTGCGGTTCATGTTTGGAAACAGCAAAAGGGTCTCACTCTTCACTGGCGGCCATAGCTCTGCGCGCGACTGCTCAGCGCGGGCTGATGGCGAGTTTCCACTGTTCTTTTGCGACGTGCATTCAACACCATCAAGATTGCCGATCTCAGCACCTTCTTAAGATGAGCTCGTTCTGAGCATGTGCTTTAAACCGCGCCCTCAAATATGGCGTCCAGTGAATACCACCTATTCGCCATTTTTTTGTTTGGCAACAAACTTAGTGGCGCCATCTATTGGGCAGCCCCGGCACACTTCCGGTTTACTCATCATTCTTTCATCGTAAGATAGAATAAGGTCTGACAGTGCCCCTTAGTGGCCATTTCCAGAAGAAAGCCGGTATATTTGATTTCGCAAGTACTGCAAAAATCCCCCGTCTAGGTCAGGACCGGGAGTGTTTGGGGGCTTATTTACACCACGCTTCAACTCACGCGAGGAAGAGCGAATATTGAAAAACTTACTGTTTTTTTTTTTTTAATTTTTGATGAATTGTGTAAAAGAAAGTAAAAAGACCAGAGTGACGACACGATCATTATACCCAAAATTTAGACACATGCTGTGGCTACTGCTCCACGTAATCACCGCGTAGATTTCGACACTTATCATGACGTGACAAAAGCTGTTGGATCCCCTCCTCAAAGAAGGTCACCGCCTGGGATCTCAGCCATCCCATCACGAGTCACGAGCGTGTGGAGGAGACTGAGTGAAGTTTCGAGGACGAACAGACGGCCAGGATAATGAAGGTCAGAAAAGAACGTCTGTGGCGACAGTGGACACTGACAGTCTTGTTGAACAGCTAGTGTGATGCCTATATCTGCGCGGTGATTACATGGAGAACAGTATCTCTAATTTTAGTGCATATTAAAACATTTCTATCACTTTTTTCTTTTTTCAGCCAAGTCATCGAAAGTTGAAAGTAAAGACAGCCCTCGTAGGTCAGTCAATCATTTTACGATTTTGTCGCTGGGCGGCAAAATCGCTGGCACAACGCGCAAGGGGATCCCGGTTTCGAAGTGCGAACAGAGGAAGAGCGGGAGGTGGGCCTCACTTAAAGCCCCTCGATCCATTAGCGTTTGTCTTGCAAGTAGCGTCAAATGCGCCACTGTACGAGGCCCGTGCCTTGAGCAGCCCTTGAAAGCAAATGGCGGCCCTCGGAAGCGAATGGCGGCGGCGCACCCACTCGTGGCACGTGTATTCCGCGTTCCCACAACAGCGGTTGGCGGTACTTGTAAGCGTGTATTTTATCGAGGGACTTCAGCCTCACTCACCGGGTGCCGCTCCGTCGTAGTGGAAGTTGGTGAGTTGGATCGTATTGGCGTCCGTGAGGACGACCGAGCCGATCTTAACGCCATGGGCACCAGTGACGCCCGTTCCGATGGTTTGCGGCTGCGGCAACTTGAAGTCCGAAGGAATCACCACGTGACCAAAGTTAACCTGAAAGAAAGCCACGAGGAATGCCTGAGCCACTGGCATTTTTGTATACTTGGCTGTCTCAGAAACGCCTCCAACACACTCTAAGAAATACGGTGCGTCTACCGTTCTGCAAAGCACTTGGCAGAGCCACTTGCCGTAGTCTTCGGAGGAAGATTGGCGAAAGGCAAGACCGAAGTAATGTTGCGACCTACGATGCTCCGTTCACCCCGCACAGTCACAACACGCGAACAGTGTCACTTTCGAAAGCACCCAGCAGCACGTGCTCGTTTACCTTTCACCGTACTGCTCGTGCACGCTCGAGGCTCGCGAGATGCCGAAGCGTTACCGAAGGTAGGAAGCTCTCGCTGGAGGCAGGTAGAGAATCAGAGTAGCGATGTGGGCGAGTTGGTTCATGCTTAGAAATAATGGAAACAGCGCGCAAACGACAAGGACGGGAGGAAAAGGAGTACACAGGACGAGCGCTGAACTGACAACTGAATATTTATTGAAAAGGACCCAACGAAGAAAACACCCACAAAAAACACACTCGCATCAACACGTGTCCATGAAAGTAATCTCCTTCTTATGTAAATACACAGAAGTTTGACTCACGCAGTTCTGTTCCCCCTCCTTCTTTATTCCATACGCTTCTAAAATTTCCCTGGCTGTTTTATCTGCTCCCCTCCCCATGATTGTGATCTTATTGAAATCAGGATGACATTTGCATGTTCCGCAGTGCAGGGGCAAATGCCCTCCTGCTGTTGAATGAAGCGACCAGTCATGTTCGCGTGCCCTTTCATTTATGCAACGGCCCGTCTGTCCGATGTAAACTCTTCCACAGCTTAACGGGATCCTGTACACCACTCCGATCGCACATTCCACGTACTTCTTTCTGTGGTTTACAGTGCATTGGTTCCCACCCCCCCCTCCTCTCGGCTACTTTAGAACAAAGGTGTGCCAGCTTACGAGGCGCCGAAAACACGACAGGGACATCAAACCTTGTGGGCACCCTGGCGGCTCCCAAGCCAAGTTGCCCGACTGCGAGGCTCAAGCCGAACTTTTCCCGCGTGGCGGCGACGTCACGCCAGCCACGCGCACATCGGATGCGCCGCCTTGATAAGGCAGATCAGAGGCGGCGCACGGGGAGTCGCTGCCTGGACTCAGGCGCCGCTGGTAACCATGTTAATCGTCTCGTCCATGTCCCATTAAATGTAGTTTCTTGTTGTTGAAACCGTTGGCTCCGTGTTGTTCCTCCGGGTCGGGTATGCAGCAAGGCAAACCGACCACAATGGCGCCCAACCGTCGTATGCTACCCACTCGCAGGAATTTCACGGGGCTTGGTTTCTTCTTTCGGTAAGCCTTTCTCATATTCCCCGTGTTTCCTATCGTTGTTTCGTGCTTCCGTCACGTCCACGTTTGTTGTATTGGCGTGTTTGTGACCGCGTCTTTGTGAACGCGGCAATCGTTTTGCGCGCTTGTGTTGGGTTTTTGGGGGCGTTTCTTTTTTTTTTTGTGCTTGCAGGAATGCTCACGCGGGAGCAGGAAGCCGCGATGGCCGCAGCAGCACAAATGAACCTGCTCACGAAGGTCACGGAGATGTGCGACTCCGTGATGCAGCGCCTGGCCCACACGCCTGGCCAGCAGGAGACCCCACCGCGAGAGCCCAGACCACACTTGACTGTTCCGGTCTACATGGGGTACGACGACGTCAAGTCCGTGGCAGACTTCCTGGGCGAGCTGCAGACGTACCACCTTGCCTCCGGTGCCTCAGAAGCCTTCATCGTGGACCGGATTGTCCCGCTGGCGTTACAAGCCAGCGCCAGGTGCTGGTTGGGGTCACAGACCCCCTTCACCAGCCTGGCGGGCTTCCAGACAAGGCTTCGAGAAGAGTTCCTGCCTGCAGGCTACGCGACGCAGATTCTCCGAGAGCTCGAGGCAAGGACGCAGCACCCGGATGAAAGTCTGGTCCGGTACGTTCGGGTCATGCAAGAGCTCTTCAAGAGGGCGGACCCGAAGTCACCGGAGTCGGACAGAGTAGCTCGGGTCAGAAGACAGTGTCACCCAAGGTACCACGTCTACCTGATCAACCGCACCTTTGAGACCCTTGAAGAGCTAGCCCGGGGCGCCCGCCTCATCGAGGAAGCTCTTCATGCCGAGCGGAACTACGTGCCGTCGCCACACCCGCCATCTGAACGACACGGCGGCCGGTCTCATCCTGGACCGCGGCCACCCTCTACAGGACCACGGGCAAAGCAGCCACCTGGTGGAGCCCTGATCCCGAACAAGCGACAAGCTGGAGCTGACCGAGCCGCCGCGCTCGTCAGCAGCCGCCGCGCTCGTCAGCAGCCGCCGCGCTCGTCAGCAGCCGCCGCGCTCGTCCAGCAGGCGCCGGCCGGACTTACAACGTCAGTCCGCCCAACAGCGCCATCCACCCCCTGACGCCCACAACGTCTCCGTCATCGACATGCCGGACGGAGCTTGAGGGGGGGGAAGTGTGGGCACCCTGGCGGCTCCCAAGCCAAGTTGCCCGACTGCGAGGCTCAAGCCGAACTTTTCCCGCGTGGCGGCGACGTCACGCCAGCCACGCGCACATCGGATGCGCCGCCTTGATAAGGCAGATCAGAGGCGGCGCACGGGGAGTCGCTGCCTGGACTCAGGCGCCGCTGGTAACCATGTTAATCGTCTCGTCCATGTCCCATTAAATGTAGTTTCTTGTTGTTGAAACCGTTGGCTCCGTGTTGTTCCTCCGGGTCGGGTATGCAGCAAGGCAAACCGACCACAACCTCCCCGCCACCTTTTTCAGGTTGTGGGAAATTCTGTGCTGATACGGGATAACCTGAGGTCTCTTGCTAGGTCTATCCAGCCGCTGATGAGGTCCCCCCTTAATCTTTCTTAACAGCGTTTCCGCTACCGCCAGCAAAACAGAGGAAACGCTGTTAAGAAAGATTAAGGGGGGACCTCATCAGCGGCTGGATAGACCTAGCAAGAGACCTCAGGTTATCCCGTATCAGCACAGAATTTCCCACAACCTGAAAAAGGTGGCGGGGAGGTTTGATGTCCCTGTCGTGTTTTCGGCGCCTCGTAAGCTGGCACACGTTTGTTCTAAAGTAGCCGAGAGGAGGGGGGGGTGGGAACCAATGCACTGTAAACCACAGAAAGAAGTACGTGGAATGTGCGATCGGAGTGGTGTACAGGATCCCGTTAAGCTGTGGAAGAGTTTACATCGGACAGACGGGCCGTTGCATAAATGAAAGGGCACGCGAACATGACTGGTCGCTTCATTCAACAGCAGGAGGGCATTTGCCCCTGCACTGCGGAACATGCAAATGTCATCCTGATTTCAATAAGATCACAATCATGGGGAGGGGAGCAGATAAAACAGCCAGGGAAATTTTAGAAGCGTATGGAATAAAGAAGGAGGGGGAACAGAACTGCGTGAGTCAAACTTCTGTGTATTTACATAAGAAGGAGATTACTTTCATGGACACGTGTTGATGCGAGTGTGTTTTTTGTGGGTGTTTTCTTCGTTGGGTCCTTTTCAATAAATATTCAGTTGTCAGTTCAGCGCTCGTCCTGTGTACTCCTTTTCCTCCCGTCCTTGTCGTTTGCGCGCTGTTTCCATTATTTCTAGGCAGGTAGAGTGCCTTTATACACACGCGCGCTTTTGCTTGAGTGGTGATATCTCAGCCATCTTTCCGCCCAATCGTTTTTTTATGCATTTTGAAGTGCGCGCTATCCGGTTTCACTCAGCTCGAGCGCGTAGCTTTGGCTAATGCATAGACGCCATTATACCGCCCATGGCACGCACTGAGTGCATGAGAGCGTCACGCGCTGGCACATTCAGGGCAACAATGGATGTCTTCACCCTGAGACAGACAAACATGTAGGCACCCTAGAGGCAGGAGAACTTAGGCTCCCCCTGCCGTTGTAATTCTGTCAGGTACCATGGCGACGCAAATATTGCGCTAAAAACATTTGATTTCTTGGAACTTGGAAAGCTCATTTTGCGAGACATGCGTCCTAAACACTCAGAGAAATTTCTTTTTTTTCCTGAGTGGGGGGGGGGGGGGGGGGGGGGGGGGGGAGGGAGGGGGGGGGGGGTGTTTAGCGTCCCTTTAAAGAGACACTGGCAGGGTTTTGTGCTCGCCATGGTTTTTATTTCCACGTGACATATGAAAGCCAAACTACCCAGAACACAATCTGCGGCTCGAAATTCGCTTTCTTTCTGCCCGAAAACCGCCGATCGAGAACTGCCCAATTTGAGTCGCACTCACTCTCTTCTCCGTGGTCACGTGCCATTTTCTATGGTTTAGACACAAACATCAAATATAATCATAGTCTTGGGTCATCGAAGGCGCACACTCACTATCAAAAATAAAAATAATATGATACCCAATTTTTGTGGCTTCTAAAAGGCTGCAATTATGTTGACAAAAAAAAAAAAGTTGCGCAGACGATCGGAAGCACTCTGTGCATACTCAACGTAATTCTCAACATGGCATCGTATCGCGGCAGAAGTCCTGGGCTGGACGGCTGAACGAAGCGGACTAAGCGATGGCGGAGGACGACGGGCGTGGGACCTCTACTTCAGAACTGTCGTTCGCGGTACCGGCGAATCTGTCCAGCTTCGAAAGAGAAATCGTTTACCGATCAAAACAATTAGGATTTATTCCATACGACACGCCCGACCACCAAGCTAATACGTTGCGTTGCGGGTCAGTGGCACCCACGCAGGGACTTGTGAGGGTGCATGTCTGAACAGCTGTCTGAACAAATTCCCAAAGAGAAATGGCGTCACTACGCCTCTCAGCCAGTACCAAGTACGAACGCAACATATGTGCCTGACGTCGCGGAGAGAGGGGGGGGGCATCCGTCAGCGCACTTTTTACGAGATTGTCGCCCACAAAAAATAAGTTTCCAATCATCAGGGTGGGAGTGATGGATAGAAATCAGTAGCAGTATAACGTAATATATCAAGTGCCGCCATGTGACAGTTTACAGCCTAAAGGGTAAGGGCACGGATACAGGTGCTGCTAACTCGATGACCCAACGACAATGGGAGGACTACTGACCCACGAGTACAACCTACATCCATTTCGCAATTGATCGCTTTAAGGCTGGACTCCATGGGGCGAATATGTTGCGAAAAGTCGGCGAATTTCGTCCAGTTGGTTTTTGCTCTGCGCGTGGCATCAGCACAGTGGCTGCTACGTCGTGTGCAAGGCGAGAGTGCCGTCGGGCGACGTTCGTCAGTCATTCGTCGCATAAATCGCTCCATGGGGTTTAACCTTTACTTCTCTGGGGAGAAGTGACGCTAGGGCGACCGTTTTTGTAACGTAAAGGCTGTACTCCACGGAGCGAATTATGCGACGAATGACTGACGAACGTCGCCCGACGGCACGCTCGCCTTGCACGCGAAGTAGCAGCCACTTTGCTGATGCCACGCGCAGAGCAAAAGCCGCCGGGCGAAATTCGCCGATTTTTCGCGGCATATCCGCCCCATAACCATAAACCTAAATAAAGTCCCTACACCCGCACCTTCCTTATAGATTGAGTACCGCGGGGAACCTTCACGTGCATCTTGCACGCGCCTGCACGCATGGGACATCAGGTGGATCAACTTTTTCGAGGTCGAGAACAATGCGCCGATAAACTGAAGGAGAGGAAGAGACGAGAGCCCGCGGGAACGGCAGAAGGCCCAGCCCTGGTTGGAACGCTTCGTAGCTACACCTAAAGCCATAGAGTAACATAGCAAACGCAAAGAGAGTAGAATAAAGCAGAATAGCGGCCCAGATAGTGCGTTTAATGCCCTCCGCTATGTGGCGCTTTTCTGTAATTTGGTTAAAATTAATTAGAACTCTTTCCATGAGGAGTATTTATTTCTTATATTGTTATGCTTTATAAGTATTTAAGATACTTAAAACGACTAAATAGTTCTAATCTAATACGTCGCAAAAACCACGTGATGAATGGCGCCTAGTTGAAGTTGAAGACGACAAAGATGCAGTTGAAGACAACAAACTCATGCATAAAATTTAGATATTTAATAAAGGTCCCAAGCAGCATATATATCCTATGGACATCCAAGGGACATCCAAGACATCCATGAAACTTATGGGGGCGTCGTGAGAAGAAGAGGACGGCCGAGAGAGGCGCGAGGGGGTGCCAGCCTGGGGCAAGCGCGAGAAAAGGAAAAGAACGTGGAGCACGAGGAGAACGCCAGGAACCGAGAACTGGAGCGGCCGTCGTATTTCCCCGTCACTCGGCTGCTTCAGGACCGGCGGCCAGTGGCCAGCGAGGACAGCCAGGCCGTCTCCCGGGCACGAGAACAAGACAGGCACCCAGCAACCAGAGAAATGATTAAAGCCAAGTTACGTTTACTTCCAAACACCCCGTTGTGCGATTTCTTGAGGAGCGAACGGAGCGCAGCCTAATCGGGCGGAATCAAGCTGTTGAGCGACCCAAAAACTTTAGGACACCCTGAGGATGTACGGAGGGCCGTGTGTGCTGTTAAGGCTTGCTTTTGAAATAAAACTGAGTCAACATAAAAAACACACACACACACACACACACACAAAAAAAAAAGAACAGCGGCTCGGGGAGACGAGGAGCTCCCGAGAGACTAGCGAGGAGGGAGGCAAGGGGGAAAGACGGAGAGAAAGAGAAGGAGAAGGGTACCGGAGAACCGAATCAGAAATGCTCAAACTGAAACCGAAACAACTTGACCGGAACCTGAACCAGGTTATGCTTCATGCTGTCTGCTGGGAGCGCTATTATAGCTGTCACTGGTCTATCTGGGTCGCTGGGGCCTATGGCAGTGTCCGCCCTTTCCCTTGTGTATATTACTCTATGCTAAAGCTGAGGGAGGGGGGCTGCCTTTTGTCTTCACTGCTCTCGTCGGCCGCGTTGGAACCTGAAACGCCGGCGTCCGGCGCTTGGCTCTCGCATTCTAACGCGTTCGACGAGTGCAGTGGAGGGAGACAAAGGCAGCCAGCTTTAGCTCGACCCCCTAATCGTTCCAACCAGAGCTCGGCGTTCTGGCGCCCCCTCTCATCTCCTCCTCTCCTTCAGTTTAGCGGCACATAGCTCTGTTTATACCCACTGAGAGGACAAGAAGCGCAAGGCGTTTATTTTGAGTTTCAAGGCACACGCGCGTTGCCTTGCGTTGGTAGTGCGTGTATGTTCCAAGCTCACGAGACGTCAAAATGTTATCGCAGGTGGGAAGTTAGCGCTGGAGGCGGGACAACTGAAAGGTCTCCTAGCCTTTCTTATCCTTTCAGTGGCTATAGTAAATTTAGCTTTGGCAATGCCAGATTAACCCGGTGAAAACACCCTGTAGCACGAGCTTAGCAGCGGCGCCCACAACTATCGCTGCCAGAGAATGCGCAGATCAAAGATATGCTGCCCGTTTATGGCCACGGTCCGCGCGTCTAGAGCACCGTTGAACACGAGGCTAGAGTCAGGCCTCGTTAACCCAGTGTTAAAGCAAATGCTTGAGTGTCAACGTCCTCGCACAGCAGACGGACGCCCAGTAACTGCGATCTACAGAGTGCGCCTGCAAAGAACAACGATGTTCAAGAACCAGCTTTACTCGTAAACCCGAACTCTATAGAAAATATTCACTGCACGCCATATTTGAGGACACTGTTTAGACTTTAGACCGATGCTAAAAACGAGGTCACATTAATAGCCTGCTAAGACCAGCAATCTTGATGGTGCGGAATGCACGTTGACAAAAACACTGTGGAAGCTCGCCATCAGCACGCGCTCAGCATTCGCGCACATAGCTATGGCCGCCAGTGAGTACTCCCTATTGGGACATTGAGCTGATATTCATAATGCTCATTATTCGCGCGTAGGTGGCGTTTTCAAGATCGGTGGCCGAGTGTGCTAGCAATCGCTACGCAGCTCGGGGCATGTAAAGACAAAGCGCAAGTTACGGAAGCCAGGCAGGGATACTGAGTTCAATACCCACTCCTGCCGGTATGGATATAGACGCTTTCAGGCAGCTGTGCATGGGCGCCGCCATAACCGACCTTCAATTTTCGTTTCCTCTTATTCCGTTCGCTTCACTTCACCATTGTCACAGCAGGACAGATTATTGCCACTTTAACTGCTACTGTGTCCTTCTCCCCAGCATAGGCTTCTCTAGAGGCTCGTCAACGCCCGCTTCAGTGGCTCGGCATCTCGGTAAGAAAAGAGAGGGTCGGCAATGGCGGATCAACCTGGCGCGTGTGTAAAGCGTCTATAGGGGGCATCGTACTGGTGAGGGATCGTGTATTAGCTACAGCAGGACACACTTTAAGGACCCTAAATTCGGAGTCGTACTGCACCGGTCTCAAAGCCCTCGAAGCAGAGGCACCAAGCACCAATTCAAGGAAGGGTTTTAGTCTGTCTAAAGACCCCGCCAACGAACAGTTTTTTTTCGAAAGCGTTTCTTCCAGCGTTGTCCTTCTGGGCGCACTCTGCTGACCCAAGTGATATTCCCCTTCCGGGCGATGTGGGGGGAAAGCAGACGCGCGGGCATGGCTCATAGAGAGCGCAGAAATCGTTCGAAGAAATGCAACGTTAGCGCAAGTCTACTCTGAACGCTTCGGAAGTGCTCGAACCCAAGTGCACGGGGCCTGGCTGTGGCGCCCGCTGGAAAGAAGGGCTCACGCGATCCTCTCCGGACGTCCGGTGCCACTGGCGGAAGCCACTTTGAGTTCCAGTCGTGGAAATGACACCGACGCGATCGATAAAACCTGTCCCACACGCGCCACGTCAACGCTCCTTCCGGGAACACTGAGACTCGTCATTACCCCGAAGCTCTCGCACCACACGCCCAGGTACTTGAAGTCGGTGATTTTCTTGTTGTCAGGCACTCTGATGGTGATGTTGGCCCCGCGGTAACCCTTCAAGGGGGCCGTGCTGGAATCGAAAAAAGGTTTGCCGTCAACGGAAGTCAGTCAGGACGTGGCGGTCACGTTCGCAATTCGCGCGTTGCCTCGGCCACAACGGGTGCAACAATTTCTGGGTGACTTCAGTAATATATTGTCTTATTTTTTTACTCTTTAATAACACATTTTCTTGGCAATTTGTGCACTGTTTATACACCTTTCCAGCGCTTTCCACCAGAACAAAAACTGCCGAGTCATTGGACTGTGGACCCGCGCAGTGCGCCTGATAGATGGCATGCTGCTCATGCTTACAAAAAAGGTAGAAGAAAATCAACATTTTTTAAAAATAATTAGTAAGATTTATTTAAATCGGTCTTATTTAATTTAAATCAGATTATTCTGAGTTAAATCACCGTGGGTAGAAAATAGTGATGCTTTACCACTAGATGTATATTTCAACGTGGCACGCACATTGACTGGTCAACGTAACCGCTTATACTGATAACAATACGAAAGAAAGAAGTAGTGTGAATATCAAGTACAGTTTAATTAACAACTTTTTATTGCTGCAATCCCTGTCATACGAGAACACTGGGAATGTCGGCTCATGCGCCTAGATATATGAGAAAAACGATTTTTTTTTTTGTCGTTAACGTGTCGTTTATTTCGTCTTTCGCGGCAACTTTGCGTAGATTGAAACTATCCGTTCCTCAAGTGTTCATCGGGGAATAAGAAAGGCCAGACGTTTCCATTTCAAGAAAGGCGGTATACATTGCGGTAAAGAGAAGGAGTTAGTCTCCTTTCGAGCAAAAATGGTCTTGGCGGCGGTGTACATGCGCGTCTCAATCGGAAACGCCCCGCGGGCAGAAACGGACGGAGCAGCGTCTGGCAGGACACCTCGGAATACCAAACCAAATGCTTGCCTGTTTTCTTCTGTGCGCAGCGCTCCCAAAGCCAATCTACGCGCTCAATAAGAGTCTAACAACGAACGATAAGGATCAATAACGTTTTTACTCAAACTACTCAAAAAGACGATTAGCGCTGGGGCACTTGCATGGGAACCGTCCATGTGTAGTGACCAGGCTCCTTCCGAGGATGAGACGGCTTATCTATAATTCAGCTTGCTCTGTAAGCTCTACAAAAAGAAAAAAAAAAGAAAAAAAACTTTGGCGTGCTCAACTATTCTAAATATACTCAGTTAGTCAATCGACGCGAGCAACGGAAGGGTCCCAGCGAATCACGAAGCTCAGAGGGCGCGATTGGACTTGAAGATTTTTTTTTGTGCAGGGATAGTGAAAGAGGGAAACGTCATGCCCATCGCCACTGCGCACATCGCATTGTTCAGGTCTAACCGTGTTTTGGTCTTCTACATTCGCTACGGTCCTTCCATTGACACTGGTGATTACCTGCCTAGTAATCTGCAAAAAAATGCATAAAAGCTTTTTTTTATATATATATAGAATGTAGGGGAATTGACATGTGGGCTTTCTCAAGAGTGAGGAGTAGACCGTTTTAGGGAAAGGTGCTTCTTTGACCAGCCATTAATAAATAACAACGAATATAACGATAACAGCAACAAGAAATAACAACCATCTCGATACACCTTGCAAAGCTGAGATGCGGCTCACAGCGATAACATGGCTGCCCGAAAATGCAACAGGAAGAAACACCGGGCCATCGTCATTTTATCCCCTTGTTGCCGTAAAAAAAAAAGTTTGTCCAAATTCCGAGCTAAAAACAACATTTTCGCGTAAAGCATGTCAGAACATTAGGCACCGAAAAAAAAAAAAAAAGAATAAATTAGTTTGTGTTAAGTCCTTATTTTGAACTTTCTTGTTCACTTTAGCCCATTGAACGGCACGGCGAAAAAACCCGAACACGCACCTGATTTCGCCACACCGCCGTCTACTTCTGCACAAAGCTTGGACTGCTCTTGTTTCCGCCGCCACGACAGCGAAGCGTCTCCTCAATGGTTCAGTGGATGCACACGCGAACGCAGCTACAGCGTCTGAAGCCAGCAACAACCGCATTTCCCAAATCGCGTCTACTAATGTCAACGCGGCAATGCAAGCCAATGCCAGACCGCGCTGGTGCGGGGGTCGCTTTAGCCCCAAACACATGAGCGACGGAAACGGGCGCCGCGCGGTGGTTTTCACAGCAACCGCCGCGGACGCTGTGACGTACACTCTAAAAAACGCCCGTGCTTCTACTTTCCCGCACAACACTCGGAGAGCCAGTCACCGCAACTTACGGAGGCAGCTCAGCGAATGACGATGCTCAAACATATGTTTAGACCAAAAAACGCAGTCTTAGTTGTGACATTAAAGGGCGGGTGCAACGATTTTAAGGCTAAAAGAATTTGCATCTTGTCATTTTTACGTTGTTTATAGTGTCCTGGAGGATAGAAACAACATCTCCTTCATTAAGAAATGTCGTGAATCCGCTGCATAATCGCAAAGCAAAAGTAGAGCTTTTTCCCCCGCCTCCAGCCGCGAGTGGCAGTCGAAGGAACTACTGCGAGAAGCTTACGTGAACTCGCTCGGTTCAAAGCTGCAGCATTGCGCCCGCTAATGTCAGCAGGGAGAGGGAGAGGAAACGTCTTCCGGGAGAGCACACCTTGAAGCTACACGGCACCCCGAATTACGTCACTAGGAGTGCGACCAGGTGGGACCCCAAAGACTGGGAGTGAATTGACGGGTGCGAGATATACCAATATTTATCTTTTTTTTTTTTTTTTTTTTTTTTTTTTTTTACACGACAACTAGGACACGCATGCGAAATCGGTTCGCTGCTCTTTACCTTAGAAGGGCCGGAGTGCAACTTCCACAAATATTTGACCGAAGTCCGAAAACTGTTAAACCCCCCTCCCCCCCCCCCCCCCCCCCCTTTTTCTTTTTTTTTTTTAGCGATGCAAAAGGTTACGCTTGCATTGCGTAATGTCCCAACTCAGATTGCGTTTTTTGGTCTAAACATATGTTTCGGCATCGTATTCGCTGAGCTGCCTCCGTAAGTTGCGGTGATTAGGTCTCCGAGTGTTGTGAGGGAAAGTAGACGCACGGACTATTTTTAGGGTGTGGCATGCAGCACGGCATTGGTACACGTCGCAGCGACGTCTGCTTTTGTCGTTCATGTGTTAGGGGCTAAGAGCAGGACGCAGCCGCCTGCTGAACCCTTGGCGGTTCCGGCGAGGCTTGGTGCAACGGGGTTTTAAGTCGGTTTGGAAGCGGCTTAAAACCCCGTTGCGAAAGCAACCCGTAAAATGATTAACATCGCAAGCCATTGCAGTCGCATTAGGTGTGTGTGAACCAATCTTTAAGCTTAGACTGCTGCTAAAGCTACAACCGCGAGCTAGCCTGTGCTTTGAGACATGCATTTCTAGTGCGAGCGCTTGTTCCGCGGAAGAACGCTTCAAAGCAGCGACCGCGAGCTCTCGTGCTTGTGGCACTGGCTGCAGTCTCAGCTTAAGGGGGAACGGAGTACAGAAGTTCCCAGATATAGCAGCTTCGTTCGATTTAGCTTCACCTCCTGCACCGGTGCAGAAAGGTGTAGGCGGTGAATGTCCGGTCGTTTCTCAGTACACATACGGGAAGTGCACTGCCCTACAGTTTCCTACACCGGTGCGGGAGGTACAGGGAAATCGAACGACGATAGCGTATGCCGCGGTGATAGCAGACTCCATTCGAAAAAATGGCACTGGCTGTTGCTGGCTTCAGACGCTACGTTGTCGTGCGCGTATATTCGCATTCGGTGCCTGTTAACAACGAACTTTATAACGCGAAAAATGATACGCTGGTGTGACGAGATTACCTAGGTATGTGTTTCGGCTCTATTCATGCGCGTTTCAATGGACGGAACCTGAACAAAAAGTGTTCTAAATAAGGACTGAACGCAGATCGCTGATTTTCTTCAGCGCCTCATATTTTGACGAGCCTAAAGGGCGATTCACGCACTTGGGTTGAGTGGGACAGAGTGCGAGGGTTGCTATGGCAACAGCTGCGTCAGCTCCAACAAAACCGGGTAAAAACCGGCTTTGTTGGAGCCGACGAAGCTGCTACCATAGCAACCCTCGCACTCGGTCGGACCCAAACGCAAGTGTGTGAATCGCCCTTTCAGTTTGGTTCACACACTTGCGTGAGTCCGACCGCGTAGGGGGTTGCTATGGCAACAGCTGCGTGTATAGGTTGCTATATAACGGGGTAAAAACCAGTTTTGTTAGAGCCCAAGCATCTGTTGCCATGACAACCCGTACGTCCCAAGCCCTTGCAGTTCCACTCCGTCGGACTCGACGGAAGTGTGGGAATCAGCCTTTACACGAAAAGCACGGTTTTCTGGCTATCCGGCGGTCAGATGTTTTCCCCTGGAACATCAGGCTAAAGATTGAAACAGCCGAAACATCAACGTATAGTTCTTTTGCTTTCACCTAATTGAACGTCTCGTGCAAGCATGATGAATGGCTTAGATTTGTCCTACGCGAAACGGATGGTTCCCACTCACCTTCCGGTTTCGTCGGGCAGGTTGGTACCGTGAGGGCCGGGCTCGCTTTCAGTGCCGACCTGGAAGTGCGCCGCTGGAAACAACATCGCCGCTCGGTGAGAACTCCGCTCGACGAGCCGGAGGAATGGTGGCATCCGGGTTTCGCAGAAAGCGACGTGATCTCCACGCAAATATAAACCCATAACCGCGTGTCGATATGCTGTATCAATGCTGCTCTGCGGTGCAGCACGTCTTAGTCACGCCATGACAGGTGCATCCCTAAATGACAACACTGAAGTCGACGGTGTCGCACCGATCATCCCTGCGCACTATAGCTCGTGCGGTGGAAGCAGCCTCTCAAGCTCCTAACCTTTTCTGTGTTTATACGTCACAAGTCGGACTCACTGGCCTTCCCTGGTCGCGCAAACACGACAGATTCGCAACATGATCCGTACAAAACAACGGATAGACAAAAGTACATGTCCTCCATATTGGATGTGGTGCACGGCGCCAGAAAACCACACTTTACTTCTTTTTTTTTTCTTTTTTCTTTTTCTGTATTCCTTTAGCCTGAAAAGAATTTTATGGACAACCCAAATTATCTCCAAATGTTTGCACCTTGCTCGCTTATTCTGTGGACCGGCTAAAAAAAAGTACAGTTAAGACAAATAAGATCCAAGCCGTACCAGCAATAAGCGGCCTTTCAGTTGGTCCCATATCCAGAGTATGTATACTCTATTTGGGGCTGAAGGGCCGAGCCATCGGGGTGCTATTAGCAGACTCTCCAGACAGCAAAGCTGCTAATCACCAAACTAAATTTTACGCTCTTTTCAGCCATCGCTACAGTTCTCATTTCGCCGGGCGAAGGCTATCATCCGCCATGTCCTTTCAACCGCGAAAAATGTCAGAAAAACAAACCTGGTGCGTCGCCATCGTAGTAAAAATTTGCGATGTAAAAGTTGACGTCATTTGCAGCGTATACGTCTCCCCTGACACCATGTGCTTGTGTTTTCAATGGGCCTATCTTGATGCCATGATAGCTGCCGAGCACTCCTGCAAGAAATTGGGCGTGATCAGCACTCGCTCACTTTTAAAACTGCCCCCTAATTATTTTATTTTTCAGTGCATGGTTAGATTGCACTAAAGTTTTGAGCGTTTCGCCTCACTATGCTTACAATCTGAAGACGTTCATTAAGTTATATTACGTTAGGTCTGCGTTCAGGGACACTGAGTATATGATATGTCACGCTCAGTGTCTGTGTGCATATCGTATGTCTGGGTTAAACCATGTATGACTTCGTCATTCGCCAGCATACCTCGCAGGGATTACCGAGCATGATTTGGGGGGGGGGGGGGGGGGGGGAGGGTAAAATGGACGCGAGAACATGTTAATCGATTACGCAACTCTTCGCTCCGTGTACGTGCGTGGAGTCTAGAGTCAGCACATTTTATCACACTTCCGATTAGTTCTGCTTTCCCGCGGGACAAATGGAGCACCAACCACTTCGGATTATTGAGCCAAAATTGCTGACAGACTCGAAGGAACGAGCAAAAATCAAAAGTACAATTATGATGCTACCTGAATGTATTACGTGGGACTACGCGTATATTACATATGATGACATATGAGCAAAACGTTACAAACAATAATTTAAAAAAAAAACTAAAAAACTGCCCGTGCCTATCGTTTCTCGCAGGACAAGTACAGGTCAATCCCCGCTATGCGGAGTGCAAGTTCGTCTGCTTCTTGCACAGGGGTTGCGATGATGTCAGCTACACCGGGTGAACGCAGTCGTATTCGATTGACGAGTGCAGCCTATCTTAAGAGACATTCCGGAACTGCACTGCCTTCCTGTACTTTCCTGTACCGGTGCAGGTTGGTGCCGGTCAATCGAACGATCTAACTGTGCAGGTATGAGGTCCGCTGCCACCGAGGCTGCCCGTTCATCAGCGCCGCGCCAAAAATAGAGCCTTTCCAAAAGTGGGCGCCATGAAAGAGCTGCTATACGACAATCATCCGAGTCTGCCATTGTTTGGGTACATAATCTGATGATGTATTTGGACACGAGGGCTGCGTCAGCGATCGGCGAGGACACGGATTCAATCACACTCTTCGTGCCCTAGAAATGGCGACCGCCATTGTGGCCTGCTTGGGTTTTTAAAAGGGGTCTATTCCAGTGCTCTCAGTAAGCGGGAAAGCTGATCCTGCTTTCGTCCTCGTAGCACGTGTTCGTTTCCCGCACACGTGCTCGTCCGCAGTGGTGAGCCCGTGCGGGGCTTCCTCAGTCGACCGCGGACCGGCGGCACCTGTTGCCGCGATCCCGTGCACGCCGAGCGGGCGCGCATCCTGCCGATGTGGGACGCCGGTGTTTGGAGCGCCTCGAGGGCGCGACGGCAGGTCAGTACACGACAGGTGTCGTGACCGGCTTCCAGTCGTGTCCCCCCCAAAGTGACGTGAAGCAACGCCGTGCGGGAAAGATACCAGGGCGACGTTCACGCACCCTGTGCCCGCCCGAGGCAGATCTCCGGGACTCTGCAATCGAATGGACCGTCTGCACCGTCTGCGCGTGTACGATATCCCGCAGAAAGAAGCCGCGCTATGCTTGTTTAGAAAGAGTTCCGCAGCCGAGTAGACGAAGGTGGCAGCGCACAGAAGGCGGCTATTGGAGTGGTCTCTACACGCCACTAGGGAAATGCACACATTGGCGAAATCATAACTTCGCTCTCAGAAAACCTGTGTGTCCACTATTTTGTTATTATAGAGCTCGGAGGCAGACATCCCTCGTGAGCAACGGAAGTTCAGATAATAGCTTCCTACGGGTAGCAACATTTTTTTAAACGCCGACTGCGTGACGCTGCAGGTTTTAGGAAGCGAATGGCGGCGCACAGCAGAAGACTGAACTGAATGACGCCATTTTGTTCCAGCGGAACGTGCTTTGTCATTTGTATGGGTTGTCGTTACAATTGTAAAATAAAGAATCAATGGACTTTAAGCGCAAAGACGTCAGTATTAGCAGCGGATGCCGAAGCTCATGAAGACGATCAGACGTGTGGCGTGCAATGTGGGCGAGGGCAATGAGCATGACGATTCACTTTCTCATTCTTCCTCCGCACATCGCAAACACCAAGGTCTAATTTTCGTCACTCGTTAGTATCTTTTAGTTGCTCGTACTGATTGGCTGCCCAAGTTATTTGCAGAAAAGTAAATAGTGTCTTTTCACACTTTCTTAATGGTTCTTATTCTGGTCACTCCATGAGATCACTATATGGCCACATGAGAGGTCCCTTACTAAACACCACGGTGAACCTTTTACGAGCGAAGGCTTTCTAGATCGTCATCAGACTCGTCACCCGCTTCGCTTAGAATCACTGAATGTTCCCAGAGTACTCAAACTCCCAAGCCTCGTTTTAAAACCGAGTGCCGACGCAGCAGTCGCGCTTCAACCCGTCTCCAAAATGGCGCCGCCCAGTGCGGTCGAAGCGAAGCGCGTACACAGTAAGGCGTTCGTTCTTGGCGAGCTCTTCAATCCACTTTCCTCGTCTGTGGCGACACTGGTCTGTTTTCATTAAAGTTCTTTCCTTCGTTCCGAGCGGCGCGTGACTCGCTCATCGCTGCCTCGTCTCTTTCTCTCGCCTCGAAACGCACCGAAGTCGAGTGTTAAGCGCCGTTCACACTCTTGTGACCGACTTCGACCGAGAGAGACCGGACCGGTTTTTAAGCCTTTTGCGACTTCTTAAGGGCCATACGCACATTCGCGTTTGAACGCGTTTGAGTGCGTTGCGAAGTCCTTGCGGCCAGGCGCGGTCGCTTGCGGAGCGACGCGCGCCTTCCCGCAACGCTCGGTAGCGCGACGCAAGCGAGTAGAGACTCGCTCAACTTTCCGAAGCGTTGCGGTGCGTTCGGGTGCGTTCGACCAATCAGAAGTCGAAAGAGGAGAGGGGATGACGTGTTCGCTCGCCCCACCCGGCCGACTCGGCGAGACGTATCCGGTTCGCCGTTCGCAGTGCTTGCTTTTTCGTTTTGGGGAGCGGTGGGGACTGTATTTTCCAAGGCTGCGATGGTTCAAGCCTGACAAAACATCGGGGAAGCCGGCGAGATTGTCCCAAGATCGAACACCGACGCCGTCGCCGTGCGCCGCCATGTTGCCTTGGATTTCGCTTACTATTGGTGAGCCACTAGCGACGATAGCGCGTTCTTATTGGCTCTTGACTGCGGTTGACTGCGTGTCAACGCAACTGTGCGTACAAGCTTGGCGCAAGCGGTCTTCGCAACGCAACGCGTCCGCTTGCCGCTACGGAACGCACCGCGCTCAAACGCGAATGTGCGTATGGGCCTTTAGGACCGGATGCGCGGCAGCGGAGCTGGTCGTAAGAGATCGCAAGAGGCTTAAAAACCGGTCTAGTCTCTCTCGGTCGTACTCGGTTGCAAGAGTGTGAACGGGCCTTTAGGCTTAGTGTCTGAGGCGTAGAGATTGAAACGCAGCTCCAGCGCAACCGGAGCGAGCATACGAGCCGGCAATCTTCTTGGGCGAATCAGATTAGTGGATACTTGATATACAAAAAAAAAAAAAAAAATCTAGGGAAAATCAACGCACGTTCCGTTCGGTCCTTGTACGGAGTAAAGAAATCGCGCGACTAAACTGTTGGATCCACAGCAAGCATTTATACCAATAAGACCCGTGGGCGTACTTTCCCGCGGACCACCGACAGAGTCCTCACTTACAATAAGTCCAGTGAGGAGGATCCCACCAATCCTTGTTCGCTCCTCGGTGTTGCAACGTAGAAGACGTCTCTCGCGCTGGAACCTTATCTCAGGTTCATCCTCCGCTGTTAAACAAAAACGCAGATCTCGACGATCGGCATTACGCGCGATGCGCCGCGCGCAAAGCCGACGTTATGGGCCTTGCCTCTTTGAGCGGTTTATGGTTCGTGCAGTCCTGCTCCTTCGCGAACGTAACGCAAAACTATAAAGCGTTCCAATGTTTACAAATCGACAGCCTAGCGTGGGATCTCCACAGCTCAGCAAGCGCATGTTCGTCCCTTCGGAAAGCGAGCTAATCACGCCGAAAAAAGGCACTAGCCTGAAGCTATTTTCTGGAAAGATCTCTAGACGCTTTCAGGCAGCTGTGCATGGGCGCCGCCATAACCGACCTTCAGTTTTTATTTCCTCCTATTCCGTTTATTTCACTTCGTCACTACCATTGCAGGCCAGGTCGCTGACTTTTCTTCTTTTTTTTTTTTTTGTTGTTGTTTTTGTTGCTTGGTTCTCCTTAACACTGGCCTTTGTCGAGGCTCGCCGACGCCCGTTTCAGAGCCTCGGTACCTCAGTAACCGCTCATCCACACTGGAAGCGGATCCGCGTTCGCAAAGCGGTTGCGAGCGCGGTTGTATAAAGATCCTGTGCAATTGCACGCGCGCTCGATGCCATCGATTGCGCGTGCAATTGTACTGGATCGTTATACAACCGCGTTCGCAACCGCTTTGCGAACGCGGATCCGCTTCCAGTGTGAATGAGCGGTAAGACAAGAGGTGGTCGGCAATGGCGGCCGTAGTCTGGCGCGTGTGTAAAGCGTACTGCCGCCTACCAGCGGTAACCGTTCCAAATCAAAAACTTAAAGGAGCTGTGCAACAATTTTTGTACTGTGCACAAATACCGCTTAAAACGGATCCCTAACGTTAATGACCTATGAAACACGCGTTCGTTTTTCACCCCACGCAATAGAAGTCCCAGAAAAAATTTTAAGAAAAATGAGCGGCGTTCGCCCCCTCAACTCGCAGCCAGAACAAGCGGCCACGTGATCTGGAGCCGATTCTATGCCACCAGTGTTGATCATAGCCACGCGCTGGGGTTGGCAAAGCACAGGACACGCGCTGAGTTCCAGACATTGTTATGGCTCGGCTCTTGTCGTCGTTGCAGCGATTGGACACGGGTCACAGCCCGAATGCTTCTCGAGCTAGCAATTGTCACGAGCCCAAGTCGAGTGCCCACGCAATGCTCGGGTCCAATCTATGAACCGCATTCAAATATCGTCACTTGGGTGTATTGCGATCCC